GTGCAGATCCCTGGACCAATCAATGAGGCCCAGTAAGGAGGGGCTTCTCTGATAGGCCCGGCTCATGGCCAGTCTCTGAGAATGAGGGCGGCATAGTGGTGGGATGGACACAATGGTTTTCCAGAAGGAGAGGGTTTGGACCGGCCAGGAGGGCAAACTGTTGTCCACCACGGACTAGTCCAGCCTGTTGGAATAACAGAGGCCCAGACGAAGGGGAGTGAGTGAGGCGGAAGCATTGAGGGGTGAGAAGCGAGAAAAAAGGGCTGAATTTGCGATTGGGGTTGAGGGAGAAGATACCAGAAGGACACAGGGTGATGTGGGTGTCAATGAAGGCAGTGGGGGTAGGAGGCTGAAAACGGGAATGAACGGGAAAACAAAGGCTTCGTTAGTGGTCGTGTATATCTAGTTGTCTTAAAAACAAAAAACAACAAAAAAGAATAAAAAAGGAACAGAAAAATAGAGTTGCTCTTCCGGTCTTACGTTTGGCTGCACGATATGATCCTCTTTTAATAGATGAGGAAACGATGAGGCAGCTCGTCTCAGGTCACAGTAGGGTCTTCTCAGGTCCCTGCCAGGCACCGTCGCCATGGCACTCTTGGGAAGGCAGATGGGCCCGATAATTAAGAGAAGTCACTCGGCTGCTCTGGGGAAGCCCGCCTCGGAATGAGCCCGGACGTGCTGCCGGCTGCTGTAACTGGAAGAAAGGAGGCCCCTGGGATTCCAGGCTGGGGTGTCTGAGCCTTGCGTCCTGCCGTCCCCACCCAAGATGTAGCAGGTCCCGAACCCTCTTGAGGCTCCACTTCCCCGTCTGTACCATGGGGGCCCTGGCTCGTGTTTGTCCACAGGGTCGCTGCTGGCAGTTTGGATAGGAGCGTTTGTGTCGTGTAGTTTTTGTCTAGCATCCCTGCCTGTCTCCCGACTAATTGTTAGGAATACTCTCGTTCCTTGTGACAACCAGACCACCCCATTCATTCTCAAACACTTCCTGGGGCACGTGGCACCAGCCCTGGTTGAGCACCACCCTGAAGGTTTCACACCTAGGGTTGGAGGGGAGCCCGGCTCACTGGGCTACATACTCGCCGGGCATGGGGTGAAGGGTCTGCTGGGGGGAGGGGTGCAGACCTACAGTGGGACAGTGTTTTGGCTTTAATTGGCCTGGAATTGTCTGGAAAGACTACTCTTATCTTGGATTCTTTTGGTTGCTTACAGTTAAGTCGACAGATGAGAGAGTCTCACATATCTTCCTATAGTCTAAGTTCACTGCTTGTGTGTATGTGTAATATATAATGCATTTCACACTGTGTGTGTAATCATCGATATAAATACACGTGTAGAAAGATACGTACAATGATACTCACAGCAACAATGTTTACAGCATGAAATCAGAAATGACTCAAGTGTACCCCAGTAGGGATTAAATAAGTTATGGCACTATCGTACGATGGAATCTTTCTATTGTACGATGGAATCTTTTTCAGGTTGAAAATTGCCTTGTAGCAAACGTGTAATCCCTTATGAAGAGGTACAGTTGATCCTTGATCCATATGGCTTGGAACTGGGCAGGGCCACTTAGACGTGGAGTGTTTTCAGGAAATACAGTTGGCCCTTCATATCCGCGGGTCTCACATCCGTGGATTCAACCGCCTGCCGACTGGGAACAGGTATCTCCACCGCAGACTAAACAGTGTTCACAGCTGCTGTTTTCAGCTAGGGTTGGTTGAATCCGTGGATGCAAAGGGCGAACTGTAAAGTCGACAGATGAGTTACATGTGGATTTTTGTAACAGAAAGTTACATGTGGGTTTTTGACTGCGCCCCCAAACCCACATTGTCCAGGGGACGAGTGTACGTACCTACTGTGAAGAGAAAAAGAAAAGTTGAAGAATAGTATGTTTAATCTGATTTCACATTTTAAAAGTACCAAATGCGTTAACGTTATAGCATTTTACTTTACATACGTAATTTTAATTTATATATATAAATACAGATGAGCTCTAGGTGGCAAACTCTTAAGTATATCTCTGCCAGGATTCTGGAGACTTTAATCTGTAAAGATTTGAGCTTTCGATAAGCATCATTGCCTTGGTAATCAGGAAATGTGTATATATATAAATGAGTGTAGAGGCAGATACAATTCTGTAGAAAATTTGGAATGAGTGGACCCACAAAGAAGGAAATTAAAGTCCTAATCTCTCCAGCATGGACCCCTGTACGCTTCCTCCCAGTCCCGTGCACAGAAGGTGACCAGGTGATAGAAAAGAGCATAGACTTCGTGTCATATCTGTCCTTACAGCTGAGTGAACATCTACAAGTTACTCAGTCTCTCTAAACTTTAGTGTCCTCATCTGTAAAAAAGGGATAATAATTTTCCCTGCCCCACAGGATCATAGAAAAAAGATGCAAGGGAATATATATGCAGATGACACGCAAAACGATATGCAGAGGCAGATGTAACCGAGAGGCGTGAGTCCCTTTGCACGGCACTGTACACCTGCTAAGTTCTCAGTAATATTCCTCGTCAACACGACGATTTAATGGTTTTTTTCTTGCATTCCGTCACATGCACAAACTGTAATTTACCCGATAAACCCCTAAAGTTGGATATTTAGGTGTCTCACGCGGCTTCCCATATCAGTCTCTAACAAATGCAGCGATGAGGGTGTCTGTTCATGGGTCTGAGTCTCTAAGCACGCCTTCGGGAGTTCTCAGAAGTAGAATTGTTGGGTTCGTGCAGTGTTTCAGGTTTTGTTAGTAGCTGGGGCTGCTGTGCCCTTCATGCTGGTTGTACCAGTTTACCCCTCCACCCCACCCCGTGGAGCGTGAAGTCCCTTCACTACATCCTGGCCCCCACTGGGTTTTACTTAAGAAAAAACAAAAGCAAAACCCCATGACACCCCCAAAGGTTGCCATATGCACATCAGCTATTTCAGCCGTAAAAGTGATGCATACTCTTCATCAAAAATATTGTAAAGAATAGAAGTACATAAAATAAAAAATGTAAGGCCCCCTCAGTGCAGTGCTCCCACCAAAATCCCACTTCCGGGGAGTGAGTCACTGTGAAATTTGACGTGCAGCCCTCCAGACACTCTTCCGTGTCCGTGGCATGTGCACACCCCATACACAGGTGTGGTTCCTTTAAGATGCTCCGGAATCACACTGTACCTTCTACGATACCCTTCGGTCGGTCAGCACCTTGTTTGGGACAACGTGTCATGGACAAACTCCCAAATTAGCACATATGATCGTGACCCCGTTCTTTTTCAGGGCTGCATATGACCTCGGGGTCGGGGTGAGCCATCATTTACCTTATATTCTCTAACTGGGCTCTGGCAGCAACTTAGTCTGTGTTCAGGTTTTCACTCTTTTGAATAACACTTGTGTAAGCTTCCATATATATTATAAATCCAGTTTTGGGGATCTAGTTTTAGAAATCGAATTATTGTCAGTTATATTTCTTAAAACCCAGCGCTGTCATTTTTTCCTAAAAATTACAAGAGTAAAGGCACTCTAGCAAAGTCTGTCCGTTCATTCACTGGTTCATCTGATCACCCTGTTGAGGGCGTCGTCGTGTGCCAGACACGGAGCCGGGGGTGCAGCTGCAGACACCTCACAAATGGCCCCTTCCTCGTGGACACGATGGTCTGAGGAGGAAGAGTCCCTCCCCGCCCGCTGTCCTTGTCTCTGACTTGTTTTCAGATGGCAGATGGAGAGGGGGCGGCTTGTTCCGCAGGAGAGCATT